ATTCCCTTCTTTGCCCCCTGCCTCTCACCTCCAGGTCTCCGATGCGCCTTCTTCCGGACATTTTTTCAAAGTGGCAGCTGAGGGGTAACATCAGCCCCGCCCCTTCCGCCCACTGGTGTGAAGCCGCTTCTCCCTGCACTGCCAAGCTCTATGCAGCCCCGGAGAGAGACGTCCGTGTCTCATCTCTTCCCTTCCACAGTACCGTAAAACCTTCTCCTGCAGGAAAGATTATCCCATGGAAAGTTTGGTTGCGGTAGCTCTTATAGTATCCAAGTTATTAGCGCACAAACATACAAACATTCTTCTTTATATATTAGATGAAGCCTGGCCAAGACCCCAGTCTGGGGCCCGGCCCCCATCTGGTTGCAGTGTCTTGTCCCCATCCCCAGACCTGGGGCAGGCCCTATGGTCCAGCTTCCATCTGGCTGCAGAAAGAGCTGGTGGCACAGGTATCCTCCTGCTACAGCATAGGTAGAAGGAGAGGCCACAATCCAGCTGCTGCGGACGGAGTAGGGGGTTGGTGAGCGTACTGAGCAGGTGGGACAGCCCCCTAGTGGTTATTTAATGTACTAAGCGTTTCTGCCATCTTAAGCTAAAAGTTTATCTGAAAAAGAAACACTGTTCTGTTCTACTCCACAGAACTATTGCACAGCTAAAACATTATACATCTCTGACTCAGACAAGCGAAAGCACTTCATGTTATCAGTAAAAATGTTCTATGGCAATAGTGATGACATCGGTGTGTTCCTCAGTAAACGGATCAAAGTCATCTCCAAACCTTCTAAAAAGAAACAGTCACTGAAAAATGCAGACTGTAAGTATTTAGTGTGCAGGTCTGTGCTTTATGTGGCAGTATGTTTGATCTTACATGACTTTCTTCTTGTACATTTGAGGTTTGATTGCAGCTAAAAATAAATACAATGCCTTTTTTCAAATGTATTGTAGTATATTTCAAAAATCTGTACTCCGATGTAGTTTACAATATTCCCCTTTATTTACATGGTTATTCTGAAAATGAATTGAATATGGCTAGCATTCACAGTACAGATTGGGAGGCTTAAAAAATTCCTTCTGCAGATTTCTAGTCATTGATCTATATACCTAGACACAGGTTTATCAAGATCTTCCTTATCTCACTGTTCTAAGCTGTTGATTCAAGCAGGTGAGGATCCTTCCTGCAGAGGAACTTAAGCTACCTTCCATAGTCAATAGCAAAGACATTGCTCGTCTCTGCATCACTCTCAATCACTATCTTTTCTCTCTTTGATGTCAATTTTATTTATAAATGTACTTTGTGTGATTATCTTCAAGGTACTGATTTTGATTGGAGTTTGTGGCTCTTCATGTTGTTGATTCATCAAAGCTTTAAGCCCAATTTCCTTGCTCATTCTAGAACACCAGTTATTGGGGTTTTTCAGATCTAGAATGCTTGGGAACTGAAGCATAACTGAAGCACCCTGCACTTTTATCTCCCTTGCGTCTTTCCCCTCAGAGTTTTGCTTGTCCTCATTTGATGCACCTGGACCATTGTGTTGCTTTTTTCTTGATCTGTCAGATTTTTAGTACTAATTTTTTTTTTTTTTTTTTTTTTGTAGTCTAATCTTCTCCAATCTCAGAGTACTGCATTGGAATTTCCAGAGTAGTTAATCAGAGTGCAAGACTCAGATGAGGGAAACAGTATAAGTGGGGAAAGCTGACAGACCCCAGTTCCACAAACTAACTTGCAAACATTCTCAGAAGGGTAGCCGTGTTGGTCTGTAACTTTTTAAAAACAAGCAGTCCCGTGGTGCATTAGAGACTAATGAATATATTCCATATTGAGCTTTTGTGGGTAAAACCCACTTGGATACATTCAGTTAAAGTAGCAGAAGACTTATTGAAAACTCCTTCTCACTTAGCTGTCCCTGTGGCCTACTATGGTTGAAGGAGAAGTTCACAAGTACATAGCTGCAAACGAAAGCAGTTATCTGCCAGCCAACCCTCCTTTGCTTATGTGGAACTCATCTTAGCACCAGTGGACATCCCTCAGTACTAAAAGCATTTTGCTTTCTGATAAGTGGGGGAATGAAGAAATGTAATTAAGTTGCCAGAAAGGAAAACAAAAGAGGGTTCTGGAGAAGAGGAGAGAAGTGCAAACAAAGAAAAAAAAAGAACAAAAGAACCAAAAAAGGAAGGGTGTGGGGGAAGGGGAGGAAAAAAAACATACAGAAAAGGGAAAGAAAAGAAGAGTAATAAGAGGAAAGAAAAATCAAAGAAACTGTGTCAGAGCATTGTAGAAAGGAGCATGAAAATGGAAGGTGCCAACTGTTCTCAAGGGATTGAGTATACAACAACAAAAATGACTGGGAATCATTACTACAACCACTTCTCCGCACATAAGTCAACACACCAGAAGTTGCACTACTTGCTTCTTTTTCCATTCCCTTTTTTGCACAGATGTGCGATGAAGTAACCCAGCAGCTTTAAACAAATGCTCTGAAATACAATTTGAATGTTTGACTAATGGGGAAGCACATCTACTGCTCAGTTCCTTGAAAGGGCTGTGTGTTATGCCTTCAGAGACCATCACAAACCAATAGGTACCAGAATATTTATCTGAAAGCCCTTCTGATCCCTTCCAACAGTTCCACACAGTTGTTGTGAAACTGGGTTAGGAAATCTCAAAAGGTATATCTACACAGCAATTAAAAACCTACAGCTAGCCGACTTTACTTGACTTGGGCTTGTCGGGTTTGGGCTAAGAAGCTGTTCAATTGTGGGCTTGTGCTGGAGTCCCAGCTTTAAGACCCGTCAAGGTAGGTCTAAAACACAGTTAAACATTCCTACAGCCCAAGCTTCACAAGCCCGTGTTAGCTGGCACAGGACATATGCAAGTGTCTAATGGCAGGGTAGACGTACCCAAAGACTGCAGTCCCCAAAGCTGGGGTTGACATCATTCTGGGCTCAACAACTCTAACAGAGTAGGCTCTATAATTCACCCTGCACTCTTACAAAGAATTCATTAAAACCAGCTGTGTTGTTCTGGTGCCCATTACGCTGTGGAATTGGGATCCATGCTCCAGAGCTTCAAGTGCAACTAGAAATTATCTTGTGGCTGTGTGAGTTTCCCCAGTGGAGTAACAATATGCATTATTGACTTATGTTTTTATAGCCCATCTTACAATTCTGACTGCTTGCATTGAGCTTTTTTTAATGCCAAATACCATGTAGAAGAAAGATTTCAGTTAAGTGAACTCTGTCCCTAAGAAATCTGAAGAGTTCATTAGCAGATTTGTGAGAGATTATATTCAGCTAGACTTTCTGAATCTGTTGTACTTCTGAGAGAGATCTGAGCAAATTAAAGAGTTGAAGTTTCTGTAATTTTGTGCCATTTCCTTTTTCTTCCTTTTTTTAACCGGTTGTTATTAAGAACACCTTTTCCTTGTTCTTGAAAAGAACTGAGCACTGCGGATAGCCCAAATATTTCAAAAGGATAGGGCAATGCATCATCTGAATCCAGTGGTTTAGAACGATGAATAAAGGAACTTCCCACTTAATGACAGATAACACTGATCCAAGAGTGTCAAACTATCAAGAATTATAGTATCTTCAAAGAGCATAATTACAGATAAGCAATTAACTCTTGTACCGCTAACTGTTTTCTAGAGTGTCACAAATGTGTTCAATCTACAAAGACTGTAATTATATTGTTGAGGAGAATTCAGTCTGAATTAGTCTTTTATGAATCTGTTGATTTTTATTAGCACTGCATTGTAAAAAATATTTTTACAGTGTTAAATAAATCTTTATTTTTTTCTTGCAGTATGTATTGCGTCAGGAACAAAAGTGGCACTGTTTAATAGACTTCGATCCCAAACAGTTAGCACCAGATACTTGCACGTAGAAGGAGGTAATTTCCATGCCAGTTCACAACAGTGGGGAGCATTTTACATTCATCTCTGTAAGTAATAAAAAAAAACACCAAAAAATTAAAAACAAAAATACACCCAGAATACAGACCTCCAATTTTATTTTCCTTAAATCAGTTTTCAAAGTAAAGTCTTAGTGTTTGTATGTATGTATATATTTGTGTGTAGTATAGTGACATTTTATACCCTTGCCTTCAAGAGAGAAATGAGTTTAACCATTTAACATAGAACTTTGTCTGCTTTGTGCAGTGGATGATGATGAATCAGAGGGAGAGGAATTCACAGTACGAGATGGCTACATTCATTATGGACAGACTGTCAAACTTGTGTGTTCAGTTACTGGCATGGCACTTCCAAGACTGGTACAGTTTAACTTCTCCAATGTTACAGCTAATTTACAATGTACTAATTAGAGTACTTGGATCATTTTAAATACAAAGTAGTTGTGTTGATAAGCACATATTTGCTTTTAAAGAACTATCAAATTAGCATTGACTTTTAAAAATGTACTTTTGCTATTTCATTATTATTAAAATGTTGATTTCAATACGATAGTTGATCTTTATTTCTGTTTTGCTGTACAATTATTCTCTTATCTAAGAATAAGGCAGCAAAGCATAAACTAAACAGAGGTCATGGTACACAGATCAATCAAAATGTTTAATGTTGGTTTCCGTGTGAACTTTAAAAAAAGATAGATCTAGCACAGCAATGGCAACATAGGCAGCCAGTGTATAAAAGCACATAAGCTTGTGATTAACTTTAAGCATGTGAATAGTCTTGTTCAAGCCAACTAGACTTCTCATGCTTAAAGCTGAGTGGCTAATGTGCTTTGCTAGATTCAGATCTAAAATCACTCTGTATACTTATGTGGCCTGTTATAGGCAGGTAGAGTATCAGTATACTTTACAAAGTAATTTTGGATGATTACTGGTTTTGAACGTATTTAAGTGTATATAACAATAAAAATGCATACAGTAAATTGCATCTCACCATTGCTTGTGCCTGTGCACTAGAGAAGAATTGTTTTTTGGTTCTTGTAGGCTTACATGATAGTAATCAATTCTGCCTCAGTGATTGAGAAAGGTATTGTAACTGTTTCGAGTTTTACATGCTAATTATAGATATATGTCCACTGAATGCCTCAAATAGCCAGCCTGGGAGGCATTAGTATATATCTGGTTATAAGCCTTCCCTTTATTTAAGTTTACTAAAATCATTAATCGTTAGCCCACTGGTGACTTCACTATTATCAGTCTCTCTATGTGGTATCTGTTCAGCAGCAATAGTGGTGACAGTATAAAATGCTGACAGATTTAGTTCCTGTTCTATAAGACATTCCAGCATGGCTATGCTGAGAATTTCTCTTTTCAACCACATACATGTAGAGAATGGAAATAGTCTGCTGAGGGAAAACTTTTGGGTTTTTTTTTTAAATCTAGTGAAATAGTTAAAAAACCAGAAGTGCCCAAACTTACTGTCCCTCTGAGCCACATACAGTAACCTTCTGAAGTTCAAGATCTATAAGACATGCCTAATCTGCCACATCAGGTGTTGCCTGTCATGGTGTGGGGCTTCTGCCCCAATGCATCCCTACCAGACTAAAGCTCTTAAAAACCTCTTCTTGCAGGGCAAAAGTCTATAGTCCCATCACCCTGCTGCAGGGCAGAAGCCCTGAACTCCCCTGTTCCAGTATTGTAGGCAGAAGAAGGGGGTTGTAGGCTGGGCTCTAGGAACCTCACTTAATCGGTTGGATTTTTTTGTTGTTTTTTTTAAGACCACATGCGGCTCATGAATGACAGTTTGGCCATGTCTGGTATAAAATAATAAAAAGCCACTTTGTTAAGCTGTTACATCAATCAATAGAAAAATCTATCATCCATCACTTGATCTAATGTACATTGAAATCAAGGGAAAATTCCCTTTGACCCTAATGCCTTCCATACTAAGATATGACATTTTCATCAACATGATTGCTGGGCCAGGCACCAGTTGGAACAGGTGCAACCATCAGCAATTCTAGAGATGGGCATGAGGAAGTTTATTTGCATTTAACATGACATTTTAATTTTTACACTTGCAGCGGGGAACATTGAGGACATAACCTTAAAACTCTTTTTATAAAATGTTAGCAGATTACCTTTAATTTAGTTATATTGGCTATGGGGTTTAGGTAAGAAACAATATTTTTCTTAGAAATCTTGAAGCACCATGGCTGTTGATTCTGCTGATGTTGCATAAAATGAAGTACTACAGTTTTTTTCTAGAAGTTGAGTTAAAATTCCAAGCTTGAGATTTGCTGTGTGTGTGTGTATGTATATAAATCAAATATTGTAACTTTAGAATTATGACAGGCGGTATTTTTAGGTTCGATTGTCAGATGTAAGTAACAAGCATCCTTTATAGGTATGCTGTGCAGTCGTGTCTTAACTAATATTCATCATGATCCGCTCTCAAAGACACTCTTATTATTGCATTTGCAAAACTATAGTTAAGAAAATGTTAATATTTTCACCATAAATCAGTTTTTAAAGATTTAAGCTCAGTAAGTGGCCTGTTACGTTGCAGTTGACTATGAGTTGTCAATCCTAGGGGCAATTGCTTCTGTAAAATCGCTTATTGATTCTTGACCAGCTATTCTTCTGCATAAATTAGATTTTGCTAATTTCTGATGCTTTTTTCCCCTCTCTTCTAGCAAAAAAGTTGATATATATGCATGCAGCACACACTCAATTTGGACTCTGAGGAGTAGAGCAGCTTTCATATCTATCCATGTTTTAGAAATTGCTGGGAATTTTTAATCAAATGTTTAATTTTAAACTTGCAAATGTCTCTGTTGAGATGTCTTTTGTTACCATACCATTCATATAAATTTCCAGAAGTAAACGTATAATCTGTGATGTGACTAATACTTAGATTGCATTGTTCTAAGTTTATTTCTTTGTGCATTTTTACCAACAGATCATTCGAAAAGTAGATAAACAGACAGCACTACTGGATGCAGATGATCCAGTATCACAGCTCCATAAATGTGCATTCTATCTTAAAGATACTGAACGAATGTACCTGTGCCTTTCCCAAGAGAGAATAATTCAGTTTCAAGTGAGTTATCTAAACAGATTGTATTAAATGAGAAATGTAATCATCAAGTTTGTTTAAAAATATTTGTAAACATTTTTTTGTTTTGGCATTCTTTGTTTTTAAGAGAAACTGATACAGAAAGTACCAAATTTTACTCTTTCCAATCTGTTTAATTTTCTTTTCTCTCTCCAGTCTTTTGTATCTGGCTAAATACTTGAGGTGTAGTTTCTCCCAGTCAACAAATGGAAACAGAACATTAAGTCTATAGATGGTCATACTCACATATAAAAGTGTCTACTGTCTCTTCCTTCAATTATTTTTTTCTCCAGTAGGTGGAGAAAATTATTCCTAGCAAGCTGCTGCATCACAAATGAAAAAGAAGACATTGGAAGTCAAAAGGGAGCCTTTTTTAAAAACAATGTGTGTAGCTGATCTGGCAGCACAAATGACACACTGACATGATCCCTTAATCTCATGTGATACAGAGGACCACTCTTAGCTGATAATTAGTGTGGCTGTCCCCTTCAAGGGGCCAAATTCCAACTCACCTGAGCATTTCTGGACGTGAGCTCTGACTCAGAGGAGGTGAGACCATGGTCAGTCTTGTCCACTGACCTGTACCAGAGCTTCAGGGGGGAGAGTACAGAGCAGGGCAATTATGGAGTGTTCCTCCCTTTCTTTTACTCCCAGCTTCTGATAGTCAGAAGTGTGGAGTTTTCTCCCTGCCCATGTCAGCTAATAACCATTGGTGAATCTATTCTTCATGAATTCGTCCAATTCTTATTTGAACCCAGTTAAACTTTTGGTGCCACATGTGGTTGCAATAAGTTCTGCAGCTATTAGGTGTGTGAAAAAGTAAATCTATTTACCTGTATTAACCTGGCTGCCTATTAATTTGATTAAGTGATATCTGTTTTTTATACTATCTGCAAGGATCTAAAAACACTTGTTTACTTTCGCCACATGATTCATCATTTTACAAACATCTGTCAGATCTACCCCATAAGTCGTCTCTTTTCTACTTTGAACAGCCCTAATCTTTTTAGTCTCTCCTCACATGGAAACCATTCTGTATTCTTGATCATCTTTGTTACCTTTCTCTGAACCTTTTCCACTTCTACTATATCCCTTCTGAGAGGCAACCAGAGTAGGACTCTGTATGCAAGGTGTTGGTCACACCATGGTCACATCTTTGTATAGTGGAATTATGATGCCTCTTATTTCTTGTACCTTGACTAATAGCTCTGAACATACTGTTAGTCCTTTTGATTGATTCTGTGTACTGAGTGGAAGTTTTCAGAGAATGATCTACAGGGACTCTCGATCTTTTTCTAGGTGGTAATAGCTAATTTAGAATCCATCATTGTACAGTATATATATGTATTTGGGCTTATGTTTTGCACGTACAGTGTTGAACTTCATTTGTCACTTTGATTTTCAGTCACCCAGTTTAGTGATATCCCCCTGTTTCTCTTTGCAATCTGCTCTGGGCTTAACTATCTTGAATAATTTTTTAACATCTGCAAAATCTGCCACTTTACTGTTCCCCGCCTTTTCTAGATCATTAATGCATGTATGAAATAGTGCACTCTCTTTTTGCAGGCAAATGCTCTGTGGAAAAGAATATTCTGTATGTGTTCTTACAGACACTTTCATCTGTACCTGCTTCTTCCTACACAATCAAGTGTAAACACCATGCTGCTTATTTCATAACTACAGCATAGATTCCATGGAGTCTTTGGAACCATACTTTCTATAATTTAACAAGCAGAGATGAAGAGAACAGCTCAGCAGGCTTCTTTTATCTGCCAATTAGAGAGGGGAAATCACTGAACACTGTATCTTAAAATACCACTTAGTGGTCATCAGCCTATCCAAACATCAGTTAGCATATCAGATTCCATCTAAGGAAGAGCATAACTAGTGGCAGAGTGAAGATAGCTAGGAGAAGCGAAAAAGAGATCAAGAGAGACTGGAAAGAAAAGGAAATTATGGAAAATCAGAAGGTCAGTCTATATCCCTGAGTTCAAGAGATGGGTGAACTTTGGCAGGTCCTGCTTAAATTTGCAGTGTTCTTAATGAATCAAGATGGCACATACTCAGGAAATGCAGGAACTGTTTGCTAGAACCTTACTGGGAAGTTTTCTAATCTGATAGTACTCTGCAGCTGCTCCTCTCCTCTACATCCTCTCCTTCCTCCCCACCCTCCCCCCAACACAAATCAGAAAGACTGACAATCATTGGGACCTAAGCATGGCCTTAAAAGCTCTCTGTCCTCTGAGTGTCAGATGAGGAGATGATCATTGAAAACCAAAAGGGCAGACACTACCCAATTGGGATAGCAAAGAGGACAATAATTCCTGTGGAAGAAGAATGAGTTGGTAATTTTTGTGATGGAAGTAAGGAATCTTGTCGCATCTCAGGCCTCCAATTTATGCTGCATTTGTCTCCCAGTCAGTTGTTAGGTAGCTTCAGAAGTTTAGCAGGTATGCAAAGGCCAAAGATTAGGATGCAGAACTAGTCTCTGACCTTCCCATTTTTGGACTTGGTACTCTCATGCATGTGTGAAACCAGATATGACTGTCTATTCATCTTCTGGAGTTATGGCCACTTTAGTGGCAGGAGAATACTTAAATCATCTGTGAGTAATAGGGTTCTTCTAATGTCAGACTACCGCTTCTGTCTTTCAAAGGCAAGTTTCTTTTCAAGGAGGAGTTCAAGAAGATATAACAGTCCTTAGCTGCTTCAAATTAGTGAGACCCATCCCATCTAAGACTCTGTGAACTCTAAGATTGCAGTCCAAGAACAAATCCAGCACAACTAAGATCTATAATTTAGGAAAAGGAGAAGCAGAATCATAGTCAAAAAGAGACCTATTCTCTGGTTGAAGCCTGATGAACATCAGGTGGTAGGTCCTTCAGCTTTTGAACATCCAGCTGAAGGTGCAAGGACCACACACAGAATCTCGGTAGGAAATCTGAGGAACTACTTCTATACCAGTGACCAAGATTCCTAGGTTCCTGAAGACAGCAGATAAATTGAGAATTGTAGTTAGCCTGATGGTCCTTGGCTAACACGTGAAACTAGTGCTAATTAGCTTCCCATTTTGAACCTTCTGAGGAGAATTTTAATGAAACTTCTGTTTTCAAGTCCTGTTCCTGATAAAAACATTATTATATCATGCCTTGCACAATGGGATCCTGGCCTGGTTAAATTTTTGGACACTAACATTATTAAAGTATCAGAGGGGTAGCTGTGTTAGTCTGAATCTGCAAAAGCGACGAGGAGTCCTGTGGCACCTTATAGACTAACTGAAGTGTAGGAGCATAAGCTTTCGTGGGCAAAGACCCACTTCGTCAGACGCATGACATTGGTCTTTCACCTAAATTGGGAAATCATTCTAATCACATTTGACCATAGAATTATAAAGAGGGAAGGCTATGTTTCCTGGATGTCCATAGAGCCCTGTTGACTCAATAAAAAGAATAACAAAATGTAAGCAGTCTTAGAAGTATTTCATCCCACACCATAATGTAAAGATCATCATCAGCTCCTGAATTCCTTGTCAGATAATGGATTAGGGAAGTGGTTAAAGCTCTTTATTTTGCAGCAGGAAAAAAAACCCACTAAAATCTTTTAAAGCTCTCTATTAGGGATGTGAACAGATAACTGGTTACCTGATACCCAGAAGGGCCCCTCTGCCCCCCACTCACTGGGCTACCAGCTCCTACTGCCTGCCTCTTCCACCCCAAATGCTTTGGGGGTTTCTGCTGCTGGCCCCCCTGCTTTTAGGGCATGGGGTGGGAGCAGGAGCAGAATCCTGTTTAATGAGTTAATCGGTTTAACTAAGGTTTAACCAACCAGTTTAACTGATTAACTAGATTTTACTTTCCTACTAATCAGTAAGATCGTCATGGGCAAAGGGGGGAAACCTCTACAATAGAGATATGCAAGGCTGCCTCAGGGCTTCTGCCCACATTTTTGTGAAAACATTGGAAAATAAAATTGCATTTTTGGCCATGGTAGAGGGTTGTGGCAAGCCATAGTAGCTTAATGAATTGTTTTGGAAAGTTCCAAGCACCTGAACTGGTGCAGAAAATGAAAGAAAAGGGGAAATGTTTCTTTTTGGAATCTTCTTGATGAATCTAGCCCCCAAGTCCCTTCCCTGGCCATCTACCTCATTACTTTCTTGTTAAGATTTCTTCTACTTACTGAACTTATTTGTTAATGGTTATTGAATAGTGCCAGCCTACTTTTTTGTTTGGTATTGCTTTCAATGAATTCAGCAGAAGGTGAAGAAACTGCCAAACCTTTGTGTGTCATGGTTGTGTTATCAAACGTTTTTGTGTGTTCTCTCCAACTGTTGGTTAGGAGGAAAACACAAGGATCTAAAGTGGATCAAATAAAGTAAATTAACAGATAAATAATATTTTGTCACATCTTTTGAATGTCTGACACTGAACATGGACACTGCAATGCAGCCACTTCCCACTCTACCCCCCAAAACTAACGAAGAATGAACACAGAACCACATCAGCATATTAAATGGCATTTTTCAGCTCTGTATTTCATTAATTAATTGGACTTGTTATAGTGCAGTGTCCTTATCTTGCATACCATGCCATGACCCTGTGTTATAACAGAAACAAATCAAGATTTCCCCTCCTATTCAGTCATGAAAAAGTGAAGGCTGTTCCCCCTGGACCTGTTCACATTTCCCAAGTTTAGAATTCATCTTCTAATGTGAATATTTGTATTGCTCCTTTGTGTCTTGTATGTGTTGTGAGACTCTTGATGACAATTTTAACAGAGGGGGATGTGTTATCTTTGTACCAGGGGTTTTCTTTAAATGTATTCTGTTTTAGGAAGAGTTTCAGGGAAACTAATGCATAACTTTGAAATGAGAAGTTGTGACCACCTTCCTCCTACCAATTCAGATTACTAATTATTCTGGTGTGAATTTCAAACCAATATACAGACCAGACTTCTAACCATTCTTTCTTAAAGGCCACTCCATGCCCAAAAGAACCAAATAAAGAGATGATTAATGATGGAGCTTCTTGGACAATCATTAGTACAGATAAGGCAGAATATACATTTTATGAGGGGATGGGACCAGTCCATGCTCCAGTAACACCTGTGCCTGTTGTAGAAAGTCTTCAAGTAAGTCAGTTGTTTACTTTTTCTGTTCTTTTTAATACAATTTGCACTTACTATAGGGCTTAAATATCCCGCGCTTCATTTGCATGTTCCCAGGTGGTCACCATTTTGGAAATTGACTAGCCCGGAATAACTGCCTGCATCTACACGCGGCAGTAAAATGGGAGTTTGAAGTAAAGCCCTTAATTCGAATTAGCTGTTAAACCTCATTCCAGGGGGCTAGTGTAGACATACCCTCAGAGAACTTGAATAATTTGCACAAGATCTTTCAGGAGTCAATGGCAGAGTTGAGTTCTGATTCCCAATCTCTCCTTTTCTAGCCACTAGACTGCCTTACCCTATTTAGAAAGCTTCTTACAAACTTTCTTATGCAGAACAATTCTGAACTAGTGCTACCTTATAAATCTGCATCTACAAGAGAGTGTTTTGCAAAGTAAAAATACTATTTATATGTCCAGAGGATTTTAGCTATGTTTTTTCAACTCGGTTCTGCAGGACAAGACTATATGCTCGATATAGAAAACATGGACTTGGTGTATTTCTTAACAATTGTTGAACTTCTTAAAATTGCCCTCTGTAATAGATCATCTGTGGTATTAATTTTTATTTTAGAAATTTGTATTCTATTCCATATCAGTAACTAATTGCCAATTAACACACTACAACTGAACCCTTCTTTGTTTAACCCTTGTTCTGTTTGAAAGAGGACTCAAAATGCTGGCTAGACAAGTTCTTCCTGCCTGGACTTTGACGAACTAGCCAGTGAGTAAGACAGTGCAGGTTTTCTACTCATAGATCCATTCTTGCTATTTATGTTTTGTGATTTAAATGGTGTTCCTTCAAGCATTGCCATTTACTTTAGGATATCAAACCATTTGAGGCTACCTGTCAACTATTTCATTTAATTGAGTTGAATTTATTTGCCAGTTTTATCAATTGGAAAAATGTAATCAATCAATGTTATGGAATGGTTTATATGTCTTTTTTCTCTCTGTTTAGTTAAATGGCGGTGGAGATGTAGCAATGCTGGAACTTACAGGTCAGAATTTCACTCCTAACTTGCGTGTCTGGTTTGGGGACGTGGAGGCTGAAACCATGTACAGGTGCAGTATTATTTCTTTTCTTGGTAGTTGATGTTGAAGTTTTGGCGAGTGTATTTTAATTTTTGCTGGTTAAGATACATACCTCCTTATTTTCTGAGGTACTATCTGTTTTACTGAATACCTGCTTGCCGCTAACATGTTGTCCTTTATCTTATCAGATGTGCAGAAAGTATGCTGTGTGTTGTTCCAGACATTTCTGCATTCCGAGAGGGCTGGAGGTGGGTCCGTCAGCCAGTCCAGGTTCCAGTAACTTTGGTCCGTAACGATGGCATAATCTACTCCACTAGCCTTACTTTTACATATACACCGGAGCCAGGCCCACGACCACATTGCAGTGCTGCTGGAGCAATTCTCAGAGCCAACTCAAGTCTCATGGCTTCCAGTGAAACAAATACAAACAGCGAGGGAAGTTACACAAATGTCAGCACAAATCCAACCAATGTCACATCATCTACAGCAACAGTAGTTTCCTAACTACAGTGTTTGCTTGGACTTCAACAGACTTTCAAGTGCTACAGACAAGAAAACTGAACAATTTTGTGGTTTCATGGGAAAACACCTTTCCATTCTAAGTGACATTATTTGAACCTTGTTACCTGCAAGTGCTGATCTTAAAAAAAGAAGCCACAATAAAAAAAAATCCGAAATGTAAAAACTTTATTAAAATCTATTTTTCAGCATTTTTTTTTTAAACGGGCAAGAAATTGAAATGTGGCTGGAATACAAGTTAAGCAAACTAGAAAACGTGAACATGACATAGTTTTTACGGACCAAGGAACTTGTATAAGCTTTAGTATAAAAGGTACATTTTCACCATACCTTTTTTGTATCACAACATATAGTACACTTTTGTTACCAAATAGTTTATATTTTTTTTCCTCTGAGCTTTTGCTCTGAAGTATATTCAGGTTCCAAGCCTGACCATGCTTGTATAATCTAATTACCATACTCTTCCAGTTTTAAAATATATATATATATATTTTTGGTCTGTGGCTGGAACTGTTCCTTTTTTTAAACTGAAGTCTTGTGACTTTTTATGAACTGAAATTGTTTTTATTTCAGCAAGTAGAACCTTGTAAAGGCCAGCATATTTTTTTTAAGATTATATGAAGTCTGTGCGAAAGCTTTAAAATAAAATGCCTCTGCCTTGCCTGCAATACATGCAATGTATGTTAACGTTAATGCTCTGTTTTCAGTCATTGTTAATAGTTATTTCTATGTTTTCCTTTTTAAAAAATATGTATTTATAGTGATAATTCATGAGGGTCTAACATTACGAGTTCAAAATATGTGACATCTCCAGCAGTCATGTTTATGATTGGTCATGTCGCAAGAATACATTGATGTTTTGAAAGGTGACTTTTGCCCCGTTCCCTCCTTAAAGTCAGAAATGCATCATAAAGTGTTTGAGGATCCATTCAGGTTTTTTCTAATCTTGTACATAATTTGTATGATGTGTAAGTTAAACATTTTATTTCACAAGTGGGATGTTCCCAGTGACTTAATTTGGCAGCATGTCTTCTGTCTTGTTGGCATGTGACAAAAGTATCCTGAGAAGTATTTGCTACAAATGGGATTGGTAGGTGATGCCCTTCATCCTTAAACAAGGAGAGAAATTGCAAAAAGCATGGTTTTTCTACCTGCTGTTCAGTACGTTAGGCCAAATGTTGGTGAAATCCTTGTGTTGAGACGTGCTTTCATTGTGAAGTGATCATTCCATAATAGATAGAAATAAATTTTAGTACTTAGAAATAGACAATTACAAGATTACAAAAGCAGTATAGTGAAGTCAACTCCTGTCTCCATTTCCAGGGGGTTTTCTCTTTCCCAG